CATGGGCAAATATAGCTGCCTGGATTGAATCTCACATCAGAGGTTTATCCTCACCACATATCTGCACTAAGTAATTTTCTACATTTATATACATATTCATGACATGCTATTATTAATCTATGGGGTCCAATTAGTTGAAGGAACCTCTGTTCCTACAACAGAAACTTTAGCTGAACACCAAACTTTATGCAGCCCTTCTCATTCATATTGTGTCATATTGTCTCTTCGTCTTTTCTGTCCAGCTTGTTTACTTCGTGGTTGGAAATCTGAACACACTGTCCTACCCGGAGTCCGCAGATCTACCGGCGTTTGTGAGGGAAAACCACGGGGCAGACAGGAGCTCCAACAGCGACCGGATCATCATCAGCTGCCAGGTGAAGACCAGGGTAGTGGAGAAGGTGTACGTCACAGAACATGACGACGGAGACCTTGGAAGGTTCCGATCCGACGGAACCCACGAGATCAGCCCGGAACTGATCCGGGTTCTACAAAACCCAGAGCTGGACCTCAGCTTTCTCCTCACTCAAATGGGTTACTATGACGATGTAGAGATGCTTCAGGATACGGAGGAGATGCAGGATCCATCAGTCCAGATGATGTTCAGCATGTTACAGAACGATCCATCTGGGTTCTTCTGCGAGGCCTTCAGCTACCAACTGAACTCTGATCAGTTCAGGTCCAACATTAGCACAGACGGGAGTGTTGTTTGTTACAACTCCACGCAGAAGAAGAAGAAAAAGAAAAGCAAAAGGAAACAAAAGCCTTTGAATGCAACCTCCTGCCAATCCGACTGGGAGCTTCGGTATGAAGGTAAAACACCCCCATTGATTAACTCCTTCGAGTTCTTGGGATGTTAAGGAATGTTCAATTGTTTTTATTCACCCATCACCACATTGGATCTCCTTAGTTAGATCCATATTGCTACACAATATGAACAAGAAACACTTAATTTGTCAGTTTTTATCATGTTAACTAACTTTACCTGTTTGATTGTAATGAAAAATTAGCAAAATGTACTGTTTTAGTCTCAGATTTGACTTTTTTGTGACCTTTTTGTCTGCAGATTATTATGACGATTACAGGACAAGCTACAGCAGTGGAGCAGGATATGGAGCTGGGTACGGAGGAAGTTATGGAGCTGGATATGGAGCTGGGTATGGCAGCGGAGGTGGAGGAGGATTTTCCAAGTTCCTAAAAACTCTCTTCAAAGTTGCAGCGATTTACTTGGCAGCCAAATGCTTCAGCTGGTTGATAAGGAAAATCTGGAGCGCAAACTGGGTCAAACAGCTTCTCCATTTTATTCCAGGTGGGGCTCCTGGGTCTCAGAGCTATCCACATGCCCACGCCATGCTGGATTATGTTTACTAAGGCTGAACAATTTTAACAAAAATCTAAATTGAGATGAGTTTTAACCAGAGGTGTCAAGTAACGAAGTACAAATACTTTGTTACTGTACTTAAGTACACTTTTTAGGTATCTATACTTTACTCCATTGCTTATTTTTCTTCCTACTTCTATATTTCTACTCATTACATTTTCACACAAGTATCTGTACTTTCTATTCCTTACATTTTTAAAACAAACGTTACTCGCACCATCCACATCTAGTGAAACTAGTGTAATTGGATGAGTCATAGAACGCAAACACTCATTGGTTAGCAAAGGAAATCATCAGAAGCAAGCAGGTGTTCTTCAAACTGCAAACGTGAATTGTCTATGCCATGCTACAATGACGGATTCGTAAAAAGACGCTGAAATGTCTTAAAGGTCGCACACAGGCGAGAGCGTATCGGGAGATGGAGACCAACAAGACCTCCCTCATCCTTGGCCCTATCGCAAAGAATTTTTCAAAATAGTCGAAAAATTTAGCTTTCAATTCATATAGTGGCATCTGGCTGTTTCTTTTAAACGTTACTTTATACTTTAAGTCGTTTTTGGAGCACATACTTTTTCACTTTTACTTGAATAAAGAGGTCAAGTTGATACTTCAACTTTACCAAAGTTTTTAAACTACAGTATCTATACTTCTACTTAAGTAGTGTACTTTTGACACCACTGGTTTTAACCAATATTGTGATTTTATTTAGATTTTCTTTTGCACTAACCACAAGCTTGTAGATGTTTTCTTTTAGGGTTTCATTTTTTTAAATTTTTTTTTTGCCTTAAAACCTTGCTTGTCCAGAATCCACTGTTTTATGTCTATACTGTAACCTTTTGGTGAAAAAGTGCTTACTTCTAGTTCTATATCTAGATCTGCGCGCGAGCTGGAACTCTCTCTACCTTTCTGGGTGGCAGCAAACCCACTTTAAATGTATTACCGCCACCTAAAGGCACTGAGAAATGTAGCGTGTTGCTCTTGTTAAATGTACTGGGAACAAAATTGAGTGCCTCTGCTATTTTAAAATTGTGTTTTGCTAAATTGCGATTATAATGCAAATGCAATTAATATCAAAGCTCTAATATTTACTAGACCTGTCAAGAGTTTTACTTTGACCATTTCTGATTTCCTGTTTTATGCTGCTTGGGTGATTATTTTAATCATTCCGAATCGATGAAGATGTATTTTAGGGTGTTGTGGCCATTAATTAGCTTCGTGAGACCATCCTGATCTCGCGAGCTTTCAAGATTTCACTCGCTAATCAGTCTGGAGACTCTCCGTTGAAGAAAATTTGGAGCCGTTCACCTAACCAACGTCCAATCAGCGTTGGCTTTGAGGCGGGTTGAGGTGTGACGCAACGAGAAGCGCGACAGTTCAGTCTAAAGAACATGGCGGCTTCAGCCGGTGAAACTAGCGTTAGCGTGGCTATCGAGCAAGTTTTATGGGAATTACAGAGTATTTCCTCACTGAAAGAAGAGCAAAACACTGCTCTGGAGGCTTTTCTCAGAGGAAAAGATGTTTTTGCTCTTCTCCCGACTGGTTTCGGCAAGAGTAGCCTGGCTGTTAGTACGTCATGTGCTTCGTTGATCTGATTGGTTTATTTGGCCGGTCTATCACCAACATAGGCCAATTTGCTAACCAGTATTTTCGCCCCTTCCCAAAATTACTGCAACGGAAGGTTTCCAGATGGATATGCGGAGCAAATCCATCGGGCGGAGTCAGGTTAGCCATTTATGCTAAATTTTTGTAATTTGTTATTTCTACCAATTTAGTTTTTGTCTTTTGGTATGTGGTTGTTGGAACAGAAGGCTGCGACACAGGGTTATTGGTAGATAAATGATAACATTTTTCTACATCTGATTTTTATACATTCACTTGAAATGTGACACTTAGTGATGCTGTTTCAACAGCTCCCCCTGCTGTCGCCGGTGGAGAATTAATGATCCTGTTTGACTTATGGGCTGATCAGGCTGGGGATATAAGTGCTGCAGTTATGGTAAAGATTTTATTAAATACAATCTGAGGTTCCACCTGTTCTGTCAGAGGGAACTTGGGGTGTTTTTTACAGTTAGTTTTGGAAAAAAAAAAAAAAACCTGTACGCAAGGCTGAGAAATGTATTTTTTTCTTTTTTTTACACAAATTTTTCTTCAGTTTTTATTTATTTTTTTTTTATTTCTGCAGAACATTTATTTATCCTCTGTCAGCCTAAAAATTGTTTCTGTTCCTTTGAAGAGAAAAGGATTTTGACATTTAGGAAGTGTTTTCATTTATGTTTTGTTGATTCCATTTACATATAAAAGATTTCAGTTGCATTTCGATGAAGGGGTCTAGATTTGTTACCCTGCCTAAACATTTAGTGCCTCTTTTTGCCCCCAATCCCCCAATGAAATATTTATAGATTTGTTCTGTTAGTGAAAATAAGTAATACATGAAATCTCTTCACTGCCTTTAATGAATCACAGCCATAAAGAACTGAGACTGCTTGCTTGTTTCGTTAATGTAAAGCACTTTGTATTGTCTTTGTACCGTATAGAAATAAACTTACATTGCCTAAAAATATGAATGAAACCTTTGGATTCTTTGACTTTGAAAGATTCCCACACGTTCTGTCCGGAGGAACGTTTCTGCCACAAACATTATTATTTCAAGCTTACTTTGCATAAATGCTCAAGAGGAGGAAGTGTAATGAAGGTAAATTCTATTTACTACAAGAAAGGGGAGTTTTTCCTCTCCACTGTCGCTTCATGCTTGCTCATCATGGACAGATTTACACAACCTGTGTTATCCAAACTGGACTTCCATCTTTCAGGTCCCAGGGTGATGCACTAGTATCAGCTCACGACCAACTTCGTCCTCTCCACTCCACCACCGGTTTCAGGCCTGGGTTGAAACATCCCTACTATTTACCTCTGTTTATGCATATCAAAGCAAATTCTGTGCTAATGTTTCCTGCCGAGGTCTGAGCGCCAAAGACTTAAGTAATTATCAATAAAACTCTTCTGATCGTCTTTTCTTTCCATGTGAGTTTTTCAGATTGAAATTTTCCGTAAACAAGATTACATTATTTGTTACCGTATATGATCACAAGAAGTTTGTTTTGTCTTTTAAGCCTCTAAGGTGTGTGGTATTTCATTTAAAGGAACAGAAACTTAGTCACTCAGCTGTTGCTTTATAAATGGTGAGATCTTCCCTGTGAATAGTTCACAGAGAGAGCCGCTCCGATGAAGCCAGAGGAGGAGATTTATGTTAACTTGGAGGAGCTGAATCTGTCCAAACTCAAATATGAAGAGAATGGTAAGGCCTGAATATTAGTTAATACAACAGAGGCAGGGGAGGTGTCTGGATTTAATTTGAACATTGCAAGAATGAACAAATGCAAATTGACTTATCATCCCTGTAAATACAAGAGTATCATATTCAATGAGTATTTTCAGAACCATGATTTTCTGAGACCTCTACATTATCAGTGTTATGTTTTCTTGAAAATCCTGATGTGTACAATCAAACACATGTAGTGAGCAGAAAATGCTCACTACATTGAATGGAAATGCCTGGTGCCTTACAAATCAAGTACAGATGTATATATTTCTTCTAACAATTATTATAGGCTTATTCAGGCTTTATAGTGTTAAAAGAGAGCAGCGTTCTTATCAAATAAAAAGAAATACACAATCAAGATTTGTGATGATTTTTTTTTACTTTAAACTAAATGGAAACCTGTTTTTTAAAATGTAAATTTAGAGCTATGATTAATGGAAGAAATATTGAATGCTAGTCACTGGATGTTTTATCTGAAATTTTCCTCTGAGAAAGAGAGAATGTGAAACCTAAGAGAAGGAACAGAAAGCAGACGTTTAGTTTTACCTCAGATGTAATGACCAGAAAAAGGAAGACCCAGGAATAAACCATAACACCATGATGCGTCTAAAGAGTTTATTGGAATATGAAACTTCCACAGGTCAGGAGGGATTGAACAGAGTCAGGAACTGGAACTTCTGGAAGGAGATTGAACCGTTGAGCCTCAACGGTTGAGGGACCAGACAGAAAAAGAGGGACGTGTTTCTAGTGTTGGATTCTGGTTCCCTAACCTTCTGTCTGTTTGGTGACAAACTTTCAGAGTCATGGTACAAACGGTCTGTCACGTATCTGGTGAAACTCAGAGGATTCCTGAATCCGTTCAGGCTGATTTGGAGGAATCCTTTGATTAGTCGTTGGTCTAGAGAAATACACAGGGTCAGATCCATGAGACCAGAGACAGGCAGAATGATCATGGAAACAAACCAGAGTACGGAGTTAGAGCCAGGTGATTGGAAATCCAGAGACAATCCACAGTGGAATCCGAGAGCAAGGTAAGGGCCCAGAAAACAAGTTACAGATCGAAAAGCATACTATGACAGGTCTGATAATGTTCAGGTAAGCTTGGAAAATTAGGCAGGCAGGAACGCTAGATAAAACTCACCAATGGCTTGTAATAATCTGGCCCTGATGACTGGTCAGGGAGGTGGTAATATTGTCAGGTAAGCAGGTGAATCTGATGGAGGCTGATTTGAAACAGGGCAGACCTGAAAGGTGTGTTTAATCCTGAATTACACCAACACTAAATCTCTAAAGCACATTCAGCTGTACTCAAGTTTCATTGTGAGGCTCTCTGACATGTTCTGTGGTAAAACAGTGTTGAAATAAAATATCTAACGCAATCTAGTACATCCTGATAATTGAAATCTTTAACATGAAGGGTTTTTTCTTGATTATGAAAACTGTAAAAACGTGACAAAGTGATTTAAACTCTAGGACCTACCAACATTTTTTAGTTTTAATCTGTAGTTTATTTAAATTTTGAGTCTCTGTTCTGTTTTTTTGGGTCGTGCTTTTTAATACAGTACCAGGTAAAAAAACTAGTGAACTTCTAATTGGTTCTAATCATAGATGCCTTGAAATAAAATCCTCTTTTGTTGCAGAACCATAATCTAATTTGGAAAAAATCTAGATAAATTCAACCTTTATTTCGAGCACATTCGATTTGTTTGGAAGAAAATACAATATCACCAAAAAACTGGTAACGAACAAATCAACAGAGCAACAATGACAGAATTTGTCCGAACCTCTCTAGACAGTTGGAGACCAGCTATATCATTTCAGAGTTTTGAGTTTAGAGTTAAATATCTTTTACTATTCATCTCCAGGTGACTCCTGGATCATCTCTGATGAATTCCTCTCTCAGCCCACAGGTTTTTTAGAGAGTTTATCTCTGGACACTGAGATGGACCTGGAAGAAGACTGGTTTTGTGTTTGCTGTGGCTGAGTGTGTGTAAATGGTTGAATGTACTTCTGAGTAAAATTCTTTTTTTTTTTTAAAGATTTTAATTTCCAAGTACAATTTTATTTTGTATATAGTTTTTCAACCACATTAATTTATATCCTTCTATAAGGATTTTACCTTCTAGACTCCTGGATGGTCTGAAAGCAGACCAATGCAGTTGAAAATACCCAAGCAGATCAGGCTAATTTCCCCAGAAAATGTGAGAAACTAAAATCTGACTAAACAAAACAAAAACAGAATCTGAAAAAAAGTTTGAAAAATAAAAAATTTGAAGAGTAAAATCTGAAAAAAACTGTACAAATATTGGTTGAACTTATGCATACAAATGAACTTCTCTTAAAACCCCTTTTCTTTTATTGAGGAGTTCTTCAATGTTCAGTTTTTTGAAAAGCCTTTTCTTTAAATAAAACATCTCCTGTGCTTTTAGTATTATTGGAAGAAAACCTTTCAACATAAATAATGACCTTTTTTTTTATTTATCAAATGGCCACCAGACTTTTATGTACCATATCCCCATGCTTGGTAGAAAAACAGGACCACAGTATCACAGATCCTCCACTGTATGTAATATTGGGCAGATATTCATTCGTTGTTTCATAGCAGAATAACCTGCAGCATTCACAGCTGCAACACCCATTTATAGTCTGATCTGAACACAGCTGCTGATGTTAGTGATGGAAATACCAGGCTTTTTCTGCCATCACTTCTAAACAGTCAGTTGGATTGATTGATTGATTGATTGATTGATTGATTGATTGATTGATTGATTGATTGATTGATTGATTGGTTGATTGATTTGTAGATAGTGTGTTATGGTTGTTATGGAGACACAGAGATCCAACAATTTTCAGCTGCTGTTTGGAAGTTTATGATTAATTTCAATTACCGTATTCAGACTTGCTTGAACACATGGTGAGATAAATGTTTTTTCCTTCAGGACTGGTCTTAAAATGAGTGGAAAATTGGTCCAAAGAGAGATCCTGATTAGATTGTAGAGATTAGAACATATTCAAAGATTATTACTAGTACAAGCTTATACTTTCATATACATTGAATAGCAATATACAATTAAGAAAACATGTTATAAAGGAAAACAAAATATAATACAAATTAAGCTTGAAAAAAACTTCTTGATTAAAAAAAGGGGTCTTAAAAAACTTTGCAGTGCTTTAAAATAAAGAATTCTAATTTAAATTTTTCAGATTTAGATTTTTCTGAATGGGTTTTGCAAATAGCATTCTTCCCTAAATGTGTTTCACAGATAACATTCTCTCCACTTTTCATTCAATGTCAACGTGTGTGTCAAGAGTCAGCTTTTGTACTGGGCTTAAAGTGATGAGAAAGTGACTGTAAAATGTATTTTGAAAAAGAGAATTTTAAATCTATAGAAAAAAGGGTTGAAAGACTAAAATTCTAAAACGAAAAAAAAAAAAAAAACAGCAAGGGAACATCACAGTTACCCGCAAAGCCTTTTTAAAAAAATTAGATGTTTAGTTTTATTTCTGGATTAAATATCCATGTACAAAATGTCTTCTTTGCTTGTAACAATAATGAAACTAAATTCCCTCCATACAACTTCCATCTATTATAGTTTTTATTTTTACCTTTATATAATTCACATTATTTTTCAAAGATAATGTTTTGCTTGATCTTTGCACCTTTAGGAGACAAAGCAGGAAAAACAGATTTTTCGCCTGTGAAAGAAACCAGAACCTTGTGTTTTAAAGCGGCACTTTTTCTGGGACTGCTTAGTTTCCTCCTGCTGGCCGTGGTGGTAACTGTCAGTGTCCTGTGTAAGTGTTCACCCCAACATGACAATTGTGAAGATGAAGTGCAATTAGCAAAATGCAGATAACATTGCTCCTCTTTTATTCTCCTCACCAAGATCAAAGAGACTTTAATCAGTTGAGTGGAGAATTGGCCAATCAGACGGCAGAGAGAAACTACCTCCAGATGATGAACCAGAACCTAACCTATGAGAGGGATCAGTTAGAAGTCAGTTTAAAGGTGGCAGAGCTGAATCTGGAACAAATGAAGAAGGAATCTGGTGAGTTTCACAGAATAACTTTTGTGGGAAATTTATCCCATACTGTCTGATCATTTTACCAATAGAAAGCAGAAATATACATGGTATAATAAAGAGAATTGGCCCGAGCACTAAACCCTGTGGTGCTCAAAAACTAACCATGATTACTAAAGATTTATAAATCACATCAACAAGTGGGTAACATATGTGCTTTACCATAGATACTACTAGACTAGTTCAAGCCTTTTAGGGGGAATATTGTGATTATTTATCTTTTGAAGAAGAATTAATGATTCATAGCTGTACTTTCTCAGTAACATGCCCTGTTGGATGGAGGAAGTTTGGCTGCAGGTGTTACCTTTTGTCTTCATGGAAGAACACTTGGGAACAAAGCAAGTATCAGTGTTCAAGAAACGGAGCAGATCTGGTGATCATCAAAAGCACGGAGGAAATGGTGAGGTTCTGTTTACTTTACGGATACAAACCATTGTCTCTGTTTGTGAAGTAATAAATAAATTTGTAAACCTGCAGATGTTTCTGAAAGAGCTTGGAGATCAGCTGAAGTTTTGGATCGGCCTGCAGTATACAACCCCAGAAAAAGGATGGAAATGGGTGGATGGAAGTTCTCTAACAAACTCGTAGGTGTTTAAACAATCTGCTTTACTTAACTTTTCTTCGTTTAAGCAATATCCTTTTTTTTTTTTTGATGATCATAAATTTTCCTTGCAGGTACTGGGAGAATTCATGGAGCCATTTCAGGACTCAGGGATGTGCAGCTTTAAACAGTTTCCGTCTATGGTCCAGATCGTGGAGCAAGGAGACTTGTTCGATGATGCTGCATTGGGTTTGTGAGAAACAGGCTTCTCCTTCTGGACTCCTGCAATAGAGCATTAATCTATCTTCTCAAACTTTTGTTTTGGAAACATTATTTAAGGCATGGTGCAAATGAAATGAAATTATATACTGAGTTTTGGATTAATATTGTTTTTATGTATAACTGAATTAAACATAATTTTCCACCGAACTTTTCAGCAGTCCCTGCAGTCAAATTTTGTAAAGAGGGTTTTTTATTTCTAGCATGTGATTCACATGTTTTCATTAAGAAGCTAATTGTTAGTCAGTCACTGAATCTGGATGGCATTAAAGTTAGTGTCAGATAGTAATCTAAAAAACTTTACTGTTGTATTTGATCAGGACTTTTTATTTATATCCCATATGAGCTTTTTTCAGCTTTAAAGTATTGCAAAGCTTATATCTTCTCCCGAGGTGATGCTCAGAAACTCCAAGTCCAAACATTTGTTGTTTGCTGGACTATTCTAATTTTTCATCATCAGGAATTCCACAAAATGTAGCTGATCCAAAATTCTGCAGCCAGAGTTCTGATGAAAACTAAAAACTGAGAACATATTTCTTCTGTTTTAGCATCTCTTCATTGGGTACTTGTTAAATTTAAAATTCTCATTTGCATGTATAAAAGCCCTAAATAATAGTCCAGCAAACAACAAATGCAGAGATGAGAAGGCAGAGATAAGTTATTTTAATTGAGGTTTCAGAGGCAAAAGAAGCAAAAAACCAGGAGCGACATAAGAAAGCAAAAAAACAGGAGACGCCAGGGAGAAAGAACACATGTGGAGCAAGCAATGAAGCAACAAAGCAACAAGAAACCAGCAATGGGGAACTGTAGAGGTGGTGTATATATGGGGAACGGAAACAAAAAGAATGGGCTAATGAGCTGATATGGAGCAGGGGAAAGAAAACAGACACAAACCACTACAATGACACAAAACGAAAAAGAAACAATTATCAAGGAAACAGAATGACATAAACCATATATGAGAGAGTGGCTCAGGTTATCCTGAGCTATTGCTCTAGTTCTGCCACTGTAGGCTTAGACTGCTGGAAGACAAATGGCCCACTTTTCCTTTATTCTTTCTCTTTTCCACCATTCTTCAGTATTTGTCAGTTCAACCCCTAACTTTGGCAAATAGCATGGTTTACCCCTCAGGTCTGACCAAAAATCTGAAATATGAATGTCTGAAAGAAAGAACTACACACAAAATTGTATGGCTATTGTATAACCCTGTTTACAAGAAGATCTTTCCAATATAAACACTCAATAAGTAAATAAAACTTTAAATTTCACATGAAATTCATCAGGAAGCCAGAGAAGGCTGGACTTAACAGCTGATAGATTCACATCACGTTGTTTTTGTTGTTCAATAGGTCCCTAATATAAAGATTTTCTGAGGAAGTAAAAGGTTTCTCTTCCCCTTCATCGTGTCTTCATTTAGCTTTTGGAAAAAAGGCTTACCTGTCTTCTCTTGACAGCTGTTCTATAATCCATTTAGCATTTGAAATATATATTGTTAATTCAATAAGCAATGAAATTTAAACATTTTAAAAAATTTGTAAAAAACAAAACAAAAAGACAGAGAGTGCAGAGAGTAAACGTAATTTCATTTCCCTTGTATGTCTTGTACATATGTAGAAAATGACAATAAAAGCTGACTTGACAATCAAATCAGTTTAATAAAAAATTTTGTTCTGTATATTTCAGGACTGTCATGATGAGAGACTTGTTCAGGACCAAAGGGCAGACAGAATCTAGGACATAGTGAGTCAATGATATTTTAAGGAAATGTTTGTGAATTTAACAGAACTCGGAGATGATGAAGGCTCTGCAGTAGAATGGCGACTTGTCCAGGGCGTAGCCGCCTCTCGCCTGTTGACAGCTGGAGATAGGCACCAGCACCCCTCATGACCCTCATGATAAGCATGACAGAAAATTGATGTAGGGATGGATGGGCATGAAGATGGAAATCGACACAGACAAATAGGGAAATAACAGTTTAAGTTGAGGAGAAACCAGGTGCAAATGGTGGAACAAAGAAGTATACACAGCTGAAGACGATTAACTATTTCAGTTTTGGGTGAGGGAGAAACGAAACCTGGGAGGATATTCTGATGAAAAGAATAAAACAAGATAAAGTAATGAGTAAAGATTAAAACAACGATAAATGGAAACATGCAGATACATATTGGAAGTCCAAAGAAATTCAGTAAAAAATAACTGTAGTAAATGGCAGTAAGATTTTTTGTAACAAAAAAGGAAACTTTACAGCAATTACTAAAAATATCTGGAACTGAGCAGTACGAAATCAAATAAATGTTATAAATTTGTATATACAATATATGCATAAAAACTAAGAATGTTCAAACAGGATAGACAAAGATGGAGTCATTTTAAACAGCATCGGACAGCAGTGGTGGCTGGTGAAAAATATTTTTGGTGGGGCT